GATACCTTTGTGCTGCGAGGGAATAAATCTCTGTGCCCTCCTGTGCCCCAGTTTCCCTCCCCCAAAGGAGAAATAATATTGTCTTCTATATGAGATCTAGTGAGGGTAACAGCTAAACACATATGTATGTAGGTCTGCATGTGTGTTTACACATATGTTAGGGTTGTTGAATCTATCTTAAAGTAGATACGTATATTATCCAGCGTGGCTATTTCTGCTCTGGGGAAAAAGCATCTCAAGTGCTTGGAGCTACAATAACCTTTGTCATGAGCTGAGCTGATCAAACACAAATGAGCAAGACATGGAGCAGCTGGATGAGGAGCATGTCTACACACGGGCTGCGGCTCCAACACCAGTGATTGCCCTCAGCTCCACCATTTCCCTGTGGGAGGCCGTCTTCCACCTCCCGTGGAACCTCTGCTTGCTCTTCAGTTTCCTCATCCAGCTCTTGTCTTCAAACTTCGGTGTAATCACAGCTCGGCTCCTTCCTCCCTGCAGCAACACTCGGAGCACATCACTGCTCGCCTTCGCTTCAGATCCAAGGACCACGTCTCAGAAAGTTTGTGAACGCTGGTGGGCTGCAAAATACCTAGGGAGAACTTTGTATTTCTAACTGAATTTTCAGTGATTATCATCAAAACCTCCCAGCAACAGCAAGGGCCTGAAAAATCTCATAAAAGCTGCTTAAACGAGAACCCACGTTCTCAGAACTCAAGGGCAAAGCCTTTAATATTTCCCAAGCAATGCAAAACTCCAGCTAACGTTGCAGAACTTGGTCCCGTGGAGGAAACAGTGTCCTGTTTAGTATGGAACCAGAGTTAACAGCTACACCTTGAAGGCAGGCAGGTTTACAGCCATCGGTATAAGGATTTTCCGGATGTTACTGGAGAGCAGAAGAGGGTTTTAGCTGACAGCCAGGGTCTGTCCTTAAAACCTCAGCTCTTGCCTAGTCTGGGCAAGCCAGCGCCTTGCATGCTTTGCATTGCTTGCCTGCAAATTGGCTGCCTGAATTTAAGATGACCCCTGAGGCTCGAGGCGCTGCATGAACTATTAGGAAGCCCGATCATATTTGTGACATCTCAGTTGGTGCCTTCACCGCAGGAAGAAAAAAAATAAAATAAAACTTCCCAATTATAAAGGGGGACTGTATCTTGGCACGGCTGTTTGGCTTCTTGCTTGGTACTTGCATTTGTGTTTTTTAGCCTCAATTCCTAAGGAAATGAGCTTTATACAACTGCATAAGATTTATATTTGGCCCCTCCACTCGCCTGAGCTGGGCAGTATTACTATATATACTGGTACCTTGAGGAGAAGAGGGCAATATCCGCTGGGACCATGTTGGGCATCAGAGGGTCTAGTCCTGGCTCACCCTTGGGCTGCAGGGAATAACTTTCTCAAAATTACGGTCCCCATGAAATCGCTGACAGTTGTGGGTGGGATGTCCCTGTCCTCACAGGTTTATTATCACCCAATTATTTGGTTGTGGCTAATCGGGGTGCAGAAAACTCTTAGAATCATAGAATCATTTAGGTTGGAAAAGACCCTTAGGATCCTCGAGTCCAACCGTTAAACTCCACCTTGATGTGGCTGAGCTTTGCATTCCCTCTGCCTGGCAGGTAGATGTGGCTGGGGACGATGGGAGGTGATGGAGGGTGCAACCAAGACCCCCCAAACACCTCGGGAAGCGGGTACCGGACCACCAGTGTCCCCAGCATCATTCCGGTGGCAGAGCTGTCACCGGGCCACCACACGAGGGCAGTGCAAGTTTGAGCATGCCAAGGAGCTGCGGAAAGCAGATGACAAGAAACGAGGAGAAAAGCCCCGAATTGTTCTTTTTTGTTGTTGTTGGTTTTGTTTGTTTGTATGTTTGTTTTTTTGTTTGTTGCTGTTGTTGTTTTTTTTTTTTTTTTTTTTTTTTTTTTTCTGCAGACAGATTTCATGCTGTGGTATCAGACCTCGCCAGGCATTGCTCCTCAGCCCAAGCACCCTTGTGATGACAGCCCAGATGCCACAAGAAGGGCCCGGGAGGTCCACCACGAGGTGGTCCATCACCCAGCTCTCCATCATTTGATGCTGTAACTTCTCCAGCCCCCAGCCCCACAGCAGCATTAAGGATACACGAGCCACTCACTGCTTCAGGTAATAGTTTATTTTCTCCAGGGTTGTAAAATGTGCAGCAGGTACGTGTTTAGGACTGCCATTTTCTTAGCCAAGAGGAGTCACAACCAAACAAGAGACCGAAACAAAGAAACCTAACAGTATCCTGCCCTACAGCAATTAGTGCAAGTCATGTAAAACAATGGTTCAACACAGGAAAACAAGGAAAAAAAAAAAGGCATTTCCAAGCCACAGGTATTTTCTCTCATGCCGTGGGGGTGGCAAGGATCCTGGAGGTGAGGCTGGGAGGTGGGATGGGGCTGCGTTGGATCAGGCTACATGGGGAGAGTAGATGTATCTTCTACAAGAAGGGCGTTTTTTCTCATTTCTTCCCTTTTTTTGTTGTCTTGGAAAGAAAGTCACATGCAGACTAGGAGGTGCAGGCTGTCAGGGGTGCTGAAAGGCGATGGCAGACCCTAAAACCCCAACCAAGGGTGACCTGCTGCAAAGCACATTTTCTTAAAATGAGATGGTTGGCGTCTTGCTTCATTTACTCTCAAACTTTCCTCTACAACAACAAAATCTTCCAGCTTCAGGGCACCCAGACTGTAAATAAAGCACTAATCCCCTCCAAAATGAGTGTGAAAATGCCCAGGATGGGGGGCACAGCAGGTCCCTCTGGGCTGGGGGCAGGGCAGGAGCGGAGCAGAGATGGGGCAGCATTTGCAGCCCCACTGGTGTCACTGGGACTCCTGCCGAAGCCCACACATTAGGGTCTAAAGCATTTTAGGGGGTATTTTAAGACATTATTCACTTTTTTTTTTTTTTTTTTCCTTTTTTCTGCAGGTGACTGACAAATGGAAAAGCCTCTTGCTTCCCAAAGTTCAGGTTCTTTCTTTCCTTTTTATTTATTTTTTTTTTTTTTAATTTAATTTCTACTGCACAACTGGAGCGAGAGGCTCTTGCACCGCTCGCTAAAAGGTTTTGAGCCAAGGGCAAGGAGTTGGCCATCCAGCTCCGTGCCACTCCTACACAGGAGATGCTCCTTTTGCAGCATCACCTGGTACAAGCAAATGCTGTGTGTGCAGCATCACCCCGGCATCGTTTCCCCCACCGTGGTCTGGATGATCGAGCAGATAACAGCAGCTGTTCAGGAGCAAGAGCGTAGCCATATGTTGCTGCTAACAAGCGTTTACTGAAGCTGCTTTCTTTCTCTGATTCCCATGTGTCTGATTAGCACACAGCTCCTCCGAGCAATTTTCAGATTTTTCACTCTCCCCTTGCAAATTTTTTTTTTTTCCCCCTTTGGCATTATAAGCAAACCAGAATATGAGCATAAAATGGGGTTAAAAGCCAAGAAAGTTAAAGAAAAAAAAAAAGTATTTAAATCGCTGAAACGTAATTCACTTAATTTTCATTTTGTATTATTTCTGCTCAGAAACACACTGTTTATGTGATGACCCTGCCATGGTCCCGCAGGCTCTCAGCACAGACGAGATGCTCAATGACTGACCACCTGCCTTGGGAGGGGATTGATATTTCCAGTTTCTCAAACCACATTTTAGGACTGTGCCCACAGGTCCACACCCCTGCCCGAGCACCTGATGCTGTGGAGTGCTTCATGAGAGCATGAGGGAAGGAAAATAACTGGTGTCTGTGAGAGCTTGGGGTGTTTCACTGGGGTTGCAGTGGGGCGTACCGACCAATGAGCCCAAGTCCCTGGTCCCCTGGCTTGGGAGGATGGACTTCGACCCTTATTTCCCATTGCATTCCCAGTCAAAACAGACTGGGAAGAAGTAAAGCCAACCAAGCTGGGAATGGCCACTGGGATGAGCCAGCATCCCATTCTCCTGGAAAAGTTTTTGCCAGGAACTGCCCCATCACCTGAGCGGAGAGGAGGGAGCTGCGGTGACGGGAACATCCCTCCCCATGGTTAACCTTATCACACTGTAGCTATGGGAAAGGAAAGCAGTTTAGTCCAAGCTAGTTTTTTCCAAACCATGCTGGTAGGTAGTAGATAGGCAGGTGCCGTCGAAGGTGATTCATCCCACCCTTGGGAGGCCCAGCGTAGGTGGGGTGAATCACCCTCCAGCAGTACCTGCCTCCCTCCAGAGCCAGGATGGCTTCAGAGGAAGGGTGGAAATCACTTTGCAGGTTAGGACACCCAAAATTAAAGTGTCAACACGCAGGTGTCTCAATGTGCACTGGGTATCTGTTACATTACTTCCCAATGGCTGAAGAGCGTAAGATGAGTCCTGCCATTTATACCTGGGACCTATTTTCCAGGATTTTGCACCTCTTTCACAAATAACAAAGAAATTCTGCATCTCCATAGCAGCAACACAAATTACAGGGCTCACAATTGTGCCAGCTGTGTTCACAGAAACACAGAATGGTTTGGGTTGGAAGAGACCTTAAAGCCCATCCAATTCCGCCCCCCTGCCCCGGGCAGGGCCCCCTTCCCCCAGCCCAGGGGGCTCCCAGCCCCGTCCAACCTGGCCTTGAACCCTTCCAGGGAGGGGGCACCCACAGCTGCTCTGGGCACCCTGGGCCAGCGCCTCACCCCCAAACAGGGAGGAATTGCTGCTTTAAATCTAATTTATATCTCATTTCTTTCAGTGTAAAACTGTCACCCCACATCCTCTCCCCTCCCCCTGACCCAGAGTCCCCCCCCCACCTCTCCTGCCCCCCCTTTAAGCCCTGGGAGGCCGCTCGAAGGGCTCCCCGGAGCCTTCTCTTCTCCAGGCTGAACCCCCCCAACTCTCTCAGCCCGGCCCCCCAGGGGAGCTGCTCCAGCCCCCCCAGCATCTCCGTGGCCTCCTCTGGCCCCGCTCGAGCAGCTCCGGGTCCTTCTGCTGTTGGGGGCCCCCGAGCTGGCCCCAGCACTGCAGGGGGGGCTCCCCAGAGCGGAGCAGAGGGGGAGAAACCCCCCCCGGCCCTGCTGCCCCCCCTGCTCTGGCTGCAGCCCAGTGCTGCAGCCAGGCCCTAGGAGCCATGGTGAGAAGATGAACAAGAAGCCACCACGCCGTGAGCTGGGAACGAGCCCTGCGTCCCCCCCGCCCGAGGCTTGGTGCTCATCACGCCTGTCCTGGCTGGGGAAGGGGATCCGAGCCCCGGGAAGGCACCTCCACACTTAGCTGGGCTCCCACGTGGATACCTGTGGCCTGGAGCCACCACACAACATCAAAATGGGAAGAAATAGGGTTTTCTCTAGTCCTCCCTCCCCACCCCAAAACATGATCGCCATCAGCACCTGGCTCCATCCAACCCAACCCAGTGCAACACAGGAAAATCAACCTTAACTCATTAATCAGCATCAGCATCGCAATGCCAACAGCCCCCTCAGGTTGGAGCCCATACCAGCTAGATGCTTAATTAACATGTGATTATTTTGGCTTTCCAAAAGGTGCCTTTGGAAAGCAATGAGTTTGTGTGTCCGGCAAAAATCTGTAGACTTGAGGCCATGAGGATGGCCACGCTGGCCCGAGCAGGAAGGCAGCTCAGCATCTGCAGCGGCTTAGCCTTCTCGGCGTGGCCAGGGCAAGAGAACCAAGTCCTGCTAATAATTTAAAAGCATCAATTAATACAATTTAATAAATACATAAAAGGCTCTAGACTCTTTTTTTCCATTCACTTTCTAGCATCAATGAAAGTTAAGGGTGATTGTCCTGTGAGTAACTAAGGCAAATTTGTGTGTGTGTGTGTTTCTCTCTCCTTTTTTGTTTTGATTTTTTTTTCCATTGTTTTGTACATAAAGCAATCACATAAAAATAGTTATAAATAGAAAAATTGCAAAGGTTTTTCCCACCTAGACAAATAGGAAAAAAACCCCCAACCAACCCAACAAACAAATCAAGACAGAAAAACCACCTTGCTTCAAGTCCTTATAGATTATACAGTACTCAGCATCTTTGGATACTTTACAATGACTCCAAATCGTAGACAAAAAAAACACCTGAAGTAACCAGTCATCTGCAAAATGTCACTTGTGTAAGAAGTTGATATGGATTTAAAAAAAAAAAAATGTTTGATGCACTTTAAAGAAGTTTTCTTTTTTTTTTTTTTTGATCCCCTCCATTGACTTGTTGCACGTGGAGTCTTTGTGAATTTCTTTTTGAAGGAGGAAGAGAGATTTGGGCCATTCTGGGGGTCGTTCTGCTACAGATGGTCTCAGAGCAGAAGTCCTTCATGCCCTCATGGGGGACATGCCATCCTGGACCCCCTGTGCCCCACCATACTCTGGTGGGGGAGACCCTCATCCAGTCACCGCTTCAGAGCGGTACCACTCATTGATGGGCAAACCAAAAAATTATATGAACCCACAGTCCTCTCATTCCCTTTGATTCTGATGATGTTGAAAGGTAACAGTAAAAAGAGAAAGAAAAAGCCCTAATTTGTAACATTTACATTTTCACGTGCTGGTTTCATGAAAAACCAGCTTCTCAGAGAACCCACCGCAAGTCATCTCAGCCAGTGGTGAAACTGGTGTCCCACCACAGCTAGGAGGAGCTGTTGGGAGGCAGGTGGCCATCGAAAGCCTTTATCTTCAAGAGTAGCTCATGTTTTTAGGGGCCAAAGGAGGCCAATGGGGTGATTCCAGCCAACCTGCCAATTTTGGGGCCTCTAAAGAAATATTAGATAGGGGTGACCAAGCCAGGGTCTGCAGCGATGCTGGGGAGGACCCCAGACCCGTTGGCCACCATGGGCAACCCTCAGCTTGGAGCACCCCATCGTATGTTACTGCCTCATCTTTTGAACCAACAAATGGTGAAGAAATAGTGTATCTACTTGCTTGCAAGTAGACAATCTCATCTGCAAGACATCTTTAGTGGACTTCTTTTCCACAAAGATCCCTTGAGACAAGCAGCAGGGATATTTGCACACCTGATTTTTTTACCATAGACATTGCAGATTCGGGAACACTCAAGTGTTTTGTAGATTTTTCTCATCAAAATATATACAGGAAGTAGGGGGAATTAAGGACAAACCCCCATACATTTCAGAATAGTCAGCAGCGGTGAATTCTGACTCTTTGGTTTGAAACGAATTTTTCATTTCAAAATCCCCATATAGTTTGCTTTTGCAAAGCAAAGGTTTAATAAAAGTTCATAATCAAAACCTTTCTGATCCTACCAAAAAGTTTCCTTCACCTTTTCAAGCAACTGAAGTTAAAATACTCAAAATAGGCTTTGGTTCTCCTTCTGAAATTTTGAAATGGCCGAAGAACCAAAGTAAAAAACCCCCTTTCCACTCAGCTTTGCTCCTGGGTAATTTTCTATGTCTGGTTTTTTGGATCTTTTTAGGGTCCCAACTTGTCCTTCACAGCAGGGCTTTCACCAGTCCTGCAAATCTGATACACTGCTGCGAAAGGCAACAGCTGGGATCCTCCCCTTCCCAATGTGGCTGCTTGACCCTCCTCTTCATCCCTTGCAGAATAAATTTTGTTGCCAGACATGGGAATCACTTTAAAACAAAACAAAAGTCCTTTTGACCACAAGGGCCAAGGAATGTAATGTATCAAAACCAAATCTGGACAGTTTGTCGGTGTCCAGCGGGCCCCATGGGTGGAAAATGGGGAACATCTCCCCCAGAAGAGCCATCTCGTGGTGATGGCCATGCCCTGGACTAAGGCAATTGACATTTTCGGGAGCGTTGAGGAGAGCAGCAGTCCTGGCCTGGCCTTCCCAGACTGAGCCACGAGTGGTGGGCGGCTGGATGGGGCAGCGAGTGCCCCACAGCCCCACAGCCAAGCGCATTGCAGAGCCTAAAGTGCCGGTGGCCATGGGGCGCGGCACCCGCTCGCCCACCCACCCGCTCACCCCACGGCAGGCCACGGTGGCGAGGGGACAAAGGGATTCTTGGGAGCCAGATGATGCAAAAGGACAGGCAGGGACCCTGAGGGAGCCGGGTGCCCTGCTGGGAAGGGAGCCGACCCATGGTGGGACCAGACACGGGTTAGTTGCTCGTCTCCGAGATGGGAGCCACGTGGCCGAGCCCCGCCAAGCCGCTGAAGCCCGTGCTCCAAGGATCGGGGAGGGGGAAGAAGGGTTGGGCAGCGAGGTTTTCGTTATGGCCCAGGGCGAAGGCGAAGATGCCCGCGTTCCTCTCCATGTCCAGCTGGGCTCGCCTGAAGAGCTTCATCTGGGTTTCTTCGAACTGGCTCTCCAGCTCCTGCAGGCTGAAGGGGGTCTTGGCCCCGCTCAAAAAGTGCTTGGGGCTGGGGCCGGGAAGGCACATGGCCGCGCCGCTGAGGTGGCTGCTCATCTCCTCCAACGTCGGCGGCATCACGAAGCTCTTCTCCACCGGCGGGCCGCCGGGAGCGAAGAGCAAGCCGGCCGCTCTCCACGCCGCCGGCTTGCGCCCTCGCCGGGGCCGCGCGATCCGGCAGCTCTGGCGTTTGATGTGGCGATGGAGGTGGTCGGAGCGGGTGAAGCTCTTGTAGCAGAACTCGCACTGGTAGGGCCGGATGCCCGTGTGGATGCGCATGTGGTTCTTCAGGTCGTAGTTGTGCACGAATTTGGCGTTGCAGTGGATGCACAGGTACGGACGCTCCCCCGTGTGCTTCCGCATGTGGATTTTGAGCTTGTCCTGCCTGCAAAAGGAAAGGCTCTTGGTCAGGCGGTGCGGGCTGGAAGGGATGCGGTTGGGATTGCTCCTTGGATCAGGAGAGGGAGAAGCGATGGGAAGGTGAGGAGCTCATCCCCAGGTTTCCCCCCAACGTATGGGTGCTCTCGCAAGCTGGTGTTTGCATCCACTTCCTCCTTCCCAGAGTGACGGCACCTAAACATCGCACAGACCCGGACCTCCACATCAGGAGTTTGCACCCCATCCCAGAGAGTTCAAAACATTGGAGGGAAAAACCCCCTCTGAAACAAACCCCCAAACCATATCGACTATCTAAATCAGCACAGCTATATTTCTGCCTGCGAATAAGGAAGTAAGTTGAGTTTTGAGAGCCTGGCGATGTGGGGCAAGTACTGCTTTTAGATGAGGTACCCCTTGGAGCTGATTTTCCTTTCCTTTTATCCTTGCACTGACCACTGGGTGTCTCAGGAGCTTTTGTTTGAAGACAGAGCATCTCACAGGGTGAGGCTGGCAGAGGTGCAGGCAGCTCCTGGGCGCTCTGTACCCTTATCCTTCCCTGCCATGGTCCCCAAGGCCAGCACACATCCAGCCTCACATGCATTTTGGAGAAGGTTTTTAAATACAGCCATGGGCCAGCATAAGACTCAACCCAATGGCACTTATTTACAAATATATATATATTTAAGGGAAACATCAAAAAGCAAGAATATTTTCCCAAGCTGGCAGTCTCATCACTATTTTTTTTTTTCTCAATAAATAGGTGTTTCCTTCTGTAGTCTACAAAAATCACAGCTAGGGCTTATGATTCTAAAAAGTGAAGCTGACTGTAGCTGAACTGAGCCAAGCGCGCTGCCTAGGTTGCACCGGTGGAGTTCAAATAAGTAAGCAGCACAGTGGGAGAATTCATATTGTTTTCTGAAATGCTTTCAGTATGATCCCCCCAAGATGTTAGTAATGTGGCTAAGAATATGTAGAGTATACGGAGTCATGTCACTATTATATATAAAATATGTGAGCATGCAAAACAAAACAAAACAAAACAAAACAACAAAACAAAACAAAACCCACACAATTTATGCTGGCAGGTCAAGCCCTCAAAACTTGCAAGGTGATGTCTTTGCACTAATTTTTGCCACCCTGCCCCTGCGCATCTTGCCATGCCACAAGGAGTGCAGCCCTGGGGTGGGCATCCCTGCAAACCAGTCCCTCGGGATCAAGGATGCAGAGAAGTATCCCTAGCAGGATCTTCTTCACCAGATGATGCTTTATTGCCTTTAGGAAATTGGTCCCAGCCTGGTCCTGCATCTGCAGTAGCAGCGCAGGCGGTGGAGATGCTCCCTGACTGTACAGAGGTTGTAACGAGCTTGCATGAGGTTTACAACTCATGTAGGTTTTTAGGGAGACAGAAAAAACCCACATCTCTTGGTCCCCATGTCAAGCCCAGGGCTAGATCCCAACCTCTCACTCCAAAATTTTCAAAGACACTGTTATCCCAAGATTTTAACAAGGGCACATTTCCCCTGAAAGGGCTGAAATCGGTTCTCAGCAGCAGACAAAGCAGCATGGAAAATTTCATCCCAAACGGATAATGTGCAGCGAAGTGGTAAGCAGATGAATGCAGGGGCTCATAATGTGAAGTGTCGGGGAATGTTAATAAAAAGCAGAGCTACCAGCCCCACCTATAATATAATTTAAACCTATATATGTAATGTTTAACCTAGCAGGATCACTTTTCCTAATAAACATGCAGCGTGCCAGGGTGTATAATGTAAATACAGGCAAAGCTTTTTTCAGGCTATTACCCATCTCTGGCAGCAGACGGGGAGAAACTCAATCCTCCCTGCCCCGGCAGCATCTCCATGGGATGGAAGAGAGGTTTTATGGCTCTACCTGGAGAAGCTCAGAGGCTGGGCGGCGGCGAGATGCTGGGGCTGTGGGGAAGCGCCCGGGGGGGGATGCGGCATGGGAAACACGGGCTGTGCGAGCTGGGAGCTCGGCTCGCAGGCTCCCCGAAGGAGAACCGCGCTCCGTGTGTGTGAATAACCTTAATGCAATTGCATTAGGAGAGCGATTAGGGCTCTGCGAGCTGTCACAACACAAATAATAGGAACAAATAATGTTAACCTTTCTGGCTGGAACAGTTTCTCCTTGAGCACTCCGGGGTTGTCTTGGTGGAAAAGCTGAAATATTTGCAGTTTTCTCCAGTGTTTTTAGCAGGGTAAAACGGCAGACTAGAAGCTGAGCAGCCTTTGTTTAAGGAAAAAATTAATGAGCTATTAAATGAAGTCCTGCTTCCTGTGATCAGATGTCCCTGGGAGTTGGGAGTGGCACATCCACATGCATGTGGGGTCCTTGCTGTGGGACGTGGGAGCCCACTGATGTGAAGGGGAAGGGATCTGATGGGGAGGTTCACGGGAGATCACACCCCTTCCCCCAGGAAAATATATTTTCTCTGTTTCCCCCAGTAAATTTGCACTTCCACAGTTCCTCGAGCACAGAAATAATGCCAAGGACTGATTCCTTCATAAATCCCATTTGGGAACCTCTGCTTCCCTGCACCTTCATTCGCAGGGGACCCCAAAGGGGACTGTCTGGGCTCACATCTCCCCGGCGAAGGCATCGCTCACGGCCGTGGGTGTAAGTCCAACACTTTTGGGAAGCCTTGGATTCCCTCCGAGAGCAAAACACGTAAAACAAGTGGCAGAGTTCAGGAAATCCCAGCAGAAATCTGTTTCTACATCTCAATCACTCCACTTTACCTAAATACACTTTCCTCTAAAGGAGAGCTCTCACATTAGAGAAATGCTGAAAAGGGCTAAAAAAAACCCCAAACAACAACAAACAGCTATGTGCTATTTAAACACTCCCAAAGATATTTAAAAATAAACCAGTGTTTCGAAATTTCAACTTTGCTCAGGGTGTTAAAGAAGAAAAAAAAAACCCTCCACTCTTCAGCTCTGTGTGGGGTGACTCAGATGAACAGCTTTGTTTTCATGAATGATGATGGGAGACACCACCGTTGGGTTATTCCCAATTTTCTTTGTGATTATTTCCCCGGGTTAAAGCCCTCCTACCTCTGTGCTTTGTATTTAGAAGCTGTTGAGCACATGGGGGCATGTAGAAGCTGTCACGTTTAACCCTAGGTTAGTAACGGGCCACGCTAGACCATCTCTGCGTGGAGCTTTTACGCTCCAAGATGCTGATTTAACCCGTCTTGATTAGGGGTCAGGATACCTGCATTCCCACCTGAACCCTCCTACTAACCTTTGCAGTGACTGTGAGTCAGTGTCAACATCTCTCCCTGCCTCAGTTTCCCCAGCTGAAGCCAACGATGCTGCCCTTGCTTGTAAAGGACTTTGGGAGCCCTCTGGGAGGGCTCAGCTCTATTATTCCCTTTATGGGGAAGGTGTCGGTGATGGGTCAAGCCAAGCTATTTCCTCATCAGCAATTAGCACCCGCAGCATCACACCCAGGAGAGCAGTGGGGACCGCAGGATGTGGTCCCACACTCACGAGGCTGAACCCATCCTGCCCCTCCCAGCAGATCCCGCCTGTCCAGAGGTGACGACCCAGTGCCAACCTGGGGATGCAGCACCAGCAGGAGCCAGATCCAAATTCCTGCAGGCAGGAATGAGCACCAGGCAGTGGCCTTTCTCCTGCAAATACCAGGGTGAGCCAGCTCACGGTGCATTCGCCTGCCCGAGGCATGATGCTCCCCGCATTATAATACAGCGTCTGTTGTGTTAATGGAGGGGGGCATGGAAATTTATTTTCAGGTCAAATCCTCATCATCTGCATAACTTCCACTCGAATATTATCACAGGGACAGAAGAAGAAAAGACAGGCTGAATGCAGGAGCACCCCAGGTGTCCGGCCATTGTCAGGAGCTCGCCTTTGCCTACTGTGCATATTATTTTCCTCTGGTTTGCTCGCCCCAGCCTAATAGAGCTCTCTCTCTCACACGCAGCTAGGAGCTGAAATACCATGCTCTTGTCAGAAAGGTTTATTATTATGGTAAAGATTGCACTCATTAGATATTAATTATACCCAGCAAGAGCAGGTCCAGGAATCTATTTGCCTCTGCTCACCAATTAAATTTGCCCAGCTTTTCAGAGAAGGGTTGCAAGCTCTAGCATCAGATTTATTACCATCAAGGAGTCTGCTAGGGCGAAGAGAGGTGCAAAGGCTGGGAATCGGTACGAGGGGTGGACATGGCCAGTCATGCCTGCCTTGGAGTATCCCGTGTGAGAGACCTAGAAGTTAGTTGCCTTAGCTAAGACGTGCAGGTTGTCTTTGTGTCCAGGGATGACACCTTTGCTCATCCCCTTCCCTCATCTACCTCTCCGAGGGTGCTGATCTCCTTCCACTGACCATGGAGGGAGTTGAGGTGCCAGGCTTTTGGGTGGCCAGCATTCAGGGTGATTAATCACAGAATCATTTAGGTTGGAAAAGACCCTTACGATCATCAGCTCCAACTGTTAACCTGACACTTCCAAGTCCACCACTAAACCATGTCCCTAAGTGCTACATCTACATGTGTTTTCAATACCTCCAGGGCTGCTGACTCAATCCCTTCCCTGGGCAGCCTGTTCCAATGCTTGACAACACTTTCAGTGAAGAAATTTTTCCTAAAATCCAATCTAAACCTTCCCTGGCGCAACTTGAGGCCACTTCCTGTCATCCTATCACTTGTTACTTCAGAGAAGAGATTGAGACCCACCTCACTAATTACATATAATAATTAGGACCTCTCCAGCCTCAGAAAGCCCAAACACTGTCATGTTTAAACATGTGCAACTTGGTTGTGGTCTACACTGATGCCAAAATGTGAAAACCCAAGCTAATTACATCCCGCAGCTAAATGGCCTTCCCAACTCAACGCATCTCTCAGCACATTAGAGACGAAGCCTCCTTGGCTGTTTGACCATCTGTTTTCCAGCTCCCTCTGGTCCAGCTGTGGTGAACTATGGTGGGGATGAAAATATCCTGTTACTTATTTAAGCTTTTGTCCAGTGAGGGGATGGATCCAGTGAGTTGTGGATGTGACCCACAACCCACCAAAATCAGTAGGTTCGTTTTCTTCCTCTACCCTCCCTTCCTCCCTTTTTTCCCGAAGGGACAGAGATCATGCCCTGCTATCTTTGCTACTTTTTTTGGGGAAAAAGAGATGTATAGCTTAGAAAAATCAGCCATGGGTCATGACGTGGCCCCTCCAACCACCACCACCACCCTCCCTGCACACGGCCACGCACAGCAGAGATAACCAGCGCACACCTGGTAAAGCGGACTTCACAGATATTGCACATATAGGGCTTCTCTCCCGTGTGGGTTCTCATGTGCCTGGGCAGCTTGCCGGCTCCCATGATGACTTTGTTACAGATGGGACATTGCTGGGACGCCTTGGGCTTTATCTTCCTCTCTTCCTCCAGGGGCCACGGGGGAAAAACTCCTCCAAACTGGGTAGCGCTTAGGAAATTGAGATAAGCACTATAGTCAGCCTCTGCCTTAATATGCCCTAAGGGAGCTGCTGGGGTGTTGGTAAACATGTCCTTGAAGAAGTCATTAGGGAAAGGAGGCGGAGGCAGGTCTTCTTTCTCCTCCTCTTCCTTGATCTTCCTCTTTTTGATCACCAGATCCAAGGGGCCGTTGTCTACTTGGGGCTCCTCGAGCTGGGAGAAGGAGCTAAAATCGCTGTTCCACAGATGGGGGAAGAAGCTAGGAGTGAAAGGAGAGAGAGCTGGCCTCCTTTCTGGGATGTTTCCTTTAGGGTACAAGTTCTCCCTCAGCAAGGATTCAATGGAGAAATCTCGTATCACGCCCAAGTGTCCAGAGGAATTATTGGCTGGGTAGTGATTTGGAAAGTCTTTAGGTGTTTCTGTATATGCTTCTTCGGTAAGATCAGACTTAGAAGGGCTTTGGTGACAGCTTACTTCTTGGACGTCGGTTAGGTTCTCCTGATTGACAAAATCTTCCACTTCTTCCTCCTCCTCCTCTTCCTCCTCATCTTCATCTTCATCTTCATCATCATCTTCATCCTCTTTGTCATCTTCCTCTTCTGCCTCTCTGTCGGGCTCCATGATTTCAAGGCATACATTGATAATGCACTGGATCTCCAGCATCTTGGCAGCGCTGAGGATGTGCTTGACATTTGAGGTGGTGATGGTGAGGGTTGAGGTGTAGGCAAACTCGAGGATGGCAGAAAGTGCTTCAGGCTTGACAAAGTCAATCTCGTAAACATAGGGCTGGTCTGTTAAAGTGCCAGTAGTGAAGAGTTTTTTGAAGTACTTGCTGCAGGCAGCAAGGACGGACCGATGGGTCCGGTACTCCTGGTCCTCTACAATGAGGATGACATCGCAGAGGAGACCATCATGCCGCTGCTCATTCAAACCACATAAGACTTCACTGCTGTGGTTCGGGAATGGGATCCCGATAAGATCTTCAATGCCATTGGCCATATTCTCATTTAGTGCCCTAGGACAAAACACAGAGAGTAGGGAATTAGCAGGGGGGTCCCAATCAGTAACAACAAAATGACCCTGCCTTCTCTCAGTGTCCTCCTCTCCCCTACGCAGCTTGGACCTCTGTAATCACCTCCTGCTTGCGCTGCCCCAGGGCATCTCCATGTCACCTTTAACTCCATCCAGGTCCTCTGTGATTTAACCTCTGTTTCCATCCACATCACTTTTGTCTCGTGTCTCCATCCATCTCTCCTCAGTTCCCACCCTATTCACCTTATCATAACCACCATAAGCTCCCTCTTCTCCTCCACATCCCTCCTCCAGGAACCTTGTGCAACGATTCCCTCCCCATCACATTTCTTCCACATCCTCCCAGAGCCAACATCTTTCCAGGCACATGTTGGATTTGCCCTGCCAGGAGCTATGTGGGGAAATGATGCTGCTGTATTGCTTCACAACTGCCAAGAGCCGGCACCTACACCGCTTAAACAAGACAAGCCAGGGAGTGCCCATCTCATCTACTCAATTGTTGTTTGGGACTGGTACAACTGGACGTCCCAAATAGGAGGGACTGCTGGTCACGGCTGTTTGCTGCAGCAGGAGAGCTGTCTTTATGGGGCACCAGGTCTCCAGGTCTGCGTCCTCCTGGCACTTCAGGCCTGGAAGCTATCCTGTGTTGCCTCAGCATGTGGACAACCTGCATAGGGATGTCTTCCTGAAGGTAGCTGGGAATGGGGGAGGCAAGCATGGAGTTGTGTCACAGTGTACCTAAATGCTCAGAGAGAGACAACCAGGGAGCAAGGGCCTGGCCAGAGGCAGATGGCTGTCTGCTATCTTCACCCATGAGCTGAGCTTGCTCCATTCCCAACCCTGTTTCGACTTGTTAGCGTGGTACCAAATGCCCCGTGTCTCTGGCAGGCACCTTCCCCTGCTAGAACAGCTCCAGCTTCAAAGGCAAATTCAGAAGCAAAAAGCCCACACCCGAAAGGAAAACCTGATTTTTTTGCCTTTTTTTTACTCTGTAAGATGTTTCCTCTTTCACATGGCTCCAGCAGCCCTTCCACATGAGAAATCCCAGGAAAGGAGAGTGACTTCCTCCAGCAGGCGACAAATACATTAATCCCATCACACACAGAACACGTCAACCAGAATAACTTTGAATACACTAACCCTTTCAAAACCCCCAGGACACACAGCATGTGTTCCTGCAGTGTCACCTCTGCAAGCCCCAGCTTGCGGCCCCGCTGCAGGTAAGACACTCAGTTCGCAGCCAAGTGGTTAAACTCCCAGAGTACACGTTAAGTAAAACTGCAGCCCCACTCCGGCCCCTTTTGCAAGGTTGAGACCATCAGGCAGGTTCCCAATCCCACCATCTGCATCTCTGGAAGGTTCCCAGCCCCACCCCGTGACACCTCCGCCTCCCTCCTGGGACCCATCACCATGTCCTGGGCGTCCTTCCCTGCTCAGTTTCTGGCTGCGCTGACTCCAAACCTCCTTCCCACCAGCTTTGGGGACCTGGTGCACCTCACGGTGAGGGGCTGGCTCCCACCCTACCACCTGCCTCCAGCCCTCAGGGGTGGAAAGAGCCCGGTCTGATGGAGGTTTTTGAGGGAAATCCTTGCTTCACCTTGGCCAACAAGCCACTGACCCCTGAGGGGGGGTTATGGACCACCAGCCCGGAGGGAGCAACGCCGGGATGGGGGGGACAAGCTGTCCCTGAGCTAGTGAAGCCTCACGGGGGCTGGAGGGCAGCCCCACCATGGGAAGCCCTCTTCAGCCACCTTCCCGTGTCCAGAGATGGGGCGAGGAACTGGGAATTAGACCCCTCTGAGCCCCCTCTCAGCTCCTGACACCGGTGTTTTCAGCTGAGGGATGATGCTCCAGTCCCGCATTCTGCGGTGTGCCCATTAGCTCCACGCTTATTATGTCCGTTGTCTGAAACAAATTGATTCATTACAGTGTGCTGTGCTTAACCATGTTAACTAGCTACGCTCCTCTACCGACCCGACTGGCTCCCTATCAAATCTTCCTTGAAAATTGCCGATAAATGAAAGTAAATCCAATGTGTTCTCCAAGTGGAGTGTAAGATAATAAATAACCCCTGAGCCGGGAAGGAAAAGACAACTTCCTTTTTAGGGCTTTGTATCCTTAATAATAAGCATGAGCAATTAAATTTCTATTGCTTCTACTCATGTATTTTTGTTTGGAAGGAGCACTAGCGTTAAAGGAGCTCCTTGCATGAAGGAATGTGTCTTCCTACAAATCTATTTTGATTTTTTATTGCCAGATCATCCTAGGTGCAAAAGATCAGAAAAGCAGAATATTAGACTACCCTGAGAATTGTTTTTATAGAGGTTTTTTCCAGACACTAAACTCCATCCTCCCTAATTTGTGGATTATTCACTCGGCAGCAAGAAAGCAAGAAAAAATGGAATTGGGAGATCAGGAGGTATGTGATTATAAACTAAAATGATGTACAGCTCCTTTTGGTGGAAATGGACTGCTTTTCCTTTTTTTAACCCTCCTGGTCCTCTCAAGATGAGGTTCTGTTAACCGAAGCACTTAGGCAAGCTGATAACTTTACAGGATGTTGGCAAAATTGAAGGTGATTCATGTCATTTAAACATGATGGAGGGGGGGGGAGAGGAAAAGAATCAGCCCAATCATTTGCATACATTTGCATTTTTTAAACTCACAGGGTGGTTTGACAGCTCGGGAGCTCAGCGAGCCTGAGAAATGACCTTATGGATCCCATGCCCCCGGGGAGGTTGATGGCCAGAGGCTGGAAGTGTGCTGAGGCTGACATTTTCCTTCCTCCCCCTCCCTCCTCTCCCTCCTCCTGCACTCCCCCCTTCCCCTCCCCAAGCCAAGGGTGGGGTCCTCAAAAATAACAGGCCTAAAAATAGCATATGATGGTGACAAATGTCACCAGTGCGTGCATACACACATGCAAATGCTGAACGGCCCGCATGGAGTTAAAAAGAAAAATACCGTTTTATAATAGAAAATTACAGCATTGTTAAAATAAATCAGGGAGGGGGTGGGGGGTTGGGGAGAAAGGGTGGAGGACACCTAAAATAAATGTATTCTGCAGATGACGTCTTGAAACACTGCATTTACGGGCATGCTTCAAACTCATTCATTACTTTCTTGCTGTGAAAAGCCCCCTTTATAAAAGAGCGATGCCGGGAGATGCTGTTTGGGTACAGGACGGGTTCCCCCCGCGCTGCCCACGGGCACGTGGCGAGCTCTGCCAGCATGCTGAGGCACCTGAGCCTGCAACAGGAGACAAGGGGGACTGAGAGGAGCTGAGCTTTGTCCCCTTTTTTTTTTTGGGGGGTGAAAATCCTTCCGTTTTTTTCAAAAGGACGGTGCTTCGCCGGCTCGGGGTGGCGACGGCTGTGCCAGGGTGGTGGAGATGTGTAGGCAGATGTTGGCAGATGCAGGCAGGAGCCTCAGCTGTAATGCTGAGGTCTAACCTTGCAGCCTGGACATGGGTGATACAACCCAGGTACAAGCCAGGGACCACAGCAATATTATAAACCACAGAAATACTAAAAAACACCTGCAGTGCACACTCCCTGGGTGACCCAAAGCTCATCCCAGGCACTCTGCTGCTCAAAAGCCCCTTCTATTTTTTATTTTTTTGGTTGCTTTATTCTCACATCTGCTTTCAACTTCAAGCCTCTTTCAGTATAATACTGACCCTGAAAACCAATGATATAAAACTGAAATATCAGAGAGGCAAAATGATCATTTAGCACTGTGATAAGCAAAAAGTAGAAGTCTGCTCAATAGATTATAGAGATATAGGCATAGAAAATAAATAAAGTAAAATAATATTGTCTATATTCACTTCTATGAGTGGGAATGAGGACTGGAAGAGCTCGGAGGAGCCCTGGGAAAGATGTGCCGGCCCCGAGGTGGGACAGGATCCTGTTGCCAGGTCTCAGTATCGCTCAAAGCCAGGAGCAGAAGTCCTGTGCCCTGTGAGGGCTCCTCTTCAGCGCTTCCCTCTCCCATCTTCTTCCTCATCTCCAGTGACAACGCCCTGCAAAGCCAGGCCCTCGGAGGAGATAAAGGCTGCCAGGAAGAGCCTGGGATTGTGCAACGTGTGGCTCCTGGTTCAGGGCTACAGCAGGGCCGGGGGATGTTCCCTTCCTATCTGCTCCATCCCTGGGGACAATGCTTCACAACCCGAGTCTTATCTGGGAGATGGAAAATTTGGCCTTAAATTGTGTGCTGGCATGTAACATCATTACACTGTAACATGCAGCACTTTAATATTTTATTTTTTAAATATTTAAATATATAGTTGTATACTTTAAATATTTGTATATTTTATATATGTATTTACATATTTATATTTCTGTAATTATTTTTTAATTAATATTTCTATGTTTTTATATTTTGATATTTGTGTAGAGGTTCTTGGAGCGTTTCCTCTTAAATGTGCGTTGCTTGGCCTTCTCTTTGCTATGATTTTCCCCACGGGAAGGTGCTGGGTCCTGACTACGTTTCTTTTTGGTGTGCCTATACTCACTGTCCCCAGGAGTGCTACCCTGGAGATATGGGGGTGCCCAGGGGTAAGCTGGGGAGCACAGAGCAGCTGCCCTCCCCATGCTGTGCTCATTCTGCATTCAGCACAGCAAGAGGAAGAAGCCTGAGGCTCTGGCTGATCTCTGCCTGCTACCGGTGTCAAAATGACATTTTTCCAGGCAAAACAATGGTGTCTCCAATTCTCCCCTTTACCCAGCTTGTCCACGGAGCGGGGTGTGGGGTGCAAGCCCCCCCCCGGGGAGAGGCTTGGGGTTCAGCTCCCCCTCACCCCAGGCAGGATCCTGCCACCCCAGCACAGCATCCCTCACTCCCGGTCCCGGCAGGCACAAAACCCCAGGAGGGATTCCAGCCCTACAGCTGAAGCGTGAGGACACCCAGAAAAGCATCCCGGGGGGCGGAGGGACCTGGATCTGGGGTGCTGAGCATCCCCGGCCACCCCAGCCTGCCGCCCAC